TACAATAATAGAATATGAATGAATACGAATGAGCCACAACATAATGAATTTGTAAAATCTACAGAGGCAAGAAGTCCATTTTTTTTTATTTGCTAAGAAATAGACTACAGAAGCATTTAACCAATTATCTGTAGATTCTGCCCTTTTCTCAGCATATCTGGAAGCACAGGCTCTTCCCTGACACCTCAGGAGAAAAGCTGCCAAGCATGACTCTGACTCTGCTGCTGCAGCTACACCCACTCCTGTACTCTGGCAGCATCAGGGAGCAGCAGTCTCCTTCTTTTTCTTCCTGTGAATGTGTGAGTGTCCACCAGTCCTAGCACTGAGCCATCTCAGACATGCTGCTGCCAGTGGCTAACCTAGCCACCATCATCCTGAAATCTGGAGGGAACACAATGAATTCCTCCTTAAGGCATGTCCACTTCTGTTGATTGTCCCAGTTGTGGGGTCTTCTCTTAACACAGTGCAGTTAAGAAGCTGTTGTTGTTTCACACTAGATATGTGCACATGTATGTAATCTGTAAGAACTACCTTCCTTTCTAGAGATGGAAAGTTTATCTTTCTCTCTGGTATTTTGGATTCTTAGTGATGTTCCCATAGAGGAGCTCTGTTCATCTCCCTGTAAGTGCCAGTCTGGATTGATTTCCTTTCCTCAGCAAATTCCAGTCACTCCCTCTAGAATGATTTCCAAATCTTCCCAGGATCTCTCTTTGGCAGTTGGCTGCAGTCCAGGTCCTTCTGGAACCTGATGTCTCATTAAGGACATTTTATTAAGTGTAGATTTGGGACTAAGTTGTGACAAAAGGGGAAATCATTTTAGTTTCTGCTTTCACCCTTAACAACATGCTGTGTATATGGATTTCTGTCTCTAAACCAGCTCCTGAAATGTTTTAGTGTTCCTTCAGACTTAGCAGTGATATAAAATAGCAGCAGCTCAGTTCAGTGCTTTAGCAGTATTTTATTACTTCCAGTGTCTGATCCAGATATTCTAAAGTTAGTTTGTGGATCTCAGCACTGTGCCTCTGCCTGCCTTTAGGCTACAGCCTTCTCAATACCTGCTGCATTGGTACAGTCCCCAGCCAAAGATCCCCCCTCACCCACCACAACTGTTCTGAGACACAGCAGTGACGTCTGCAATAAAACTAAATGTGGGTTTTTTCCTGGCTCACACAGAGTGTGTCAGGCTTAGAAATGTTTTTTATACTGTCCTAGGAGAGAAATTTAATGTGTCCAGCTACTCCTGAGTTTTGCAGGGTCATTTTCTCAATCCAGGGAGGCATATGCACAACACAGCAACTCAAACAGACACAGCAACCAGTGCTCCAAATTTTGGCTTCACTTCATCTCATTACAAAAAGCAGCTCATGTCCTGCTGTGGAGGAGGTGCAGGATTATGCAGGAGGTCAGACTCCATCATTCTGCTGATCCCTTCTGTCCTTTACTGTCTAAAAATAAGTTTTCAAAGCCCTTCTTAGGTCTAATGGAGGCTTCATAAGAAATCCTTGAACCCAGATCCATAGCTGGATTCATGCAAACAGCTGAATGGACCCATTTGCAAGTCCAGGCTCTGATCCAGCAGAGAGATACATTAATATTCACTTTACTAGCAGTTTTTAAAATTGTAAATGTTGATGCTTGATTCTGTACTTCCTGCAATTTCTTTTAAGTAACTTTCTCAAAGGACAGTTGACTAATATTCAGTACTCAGCTTTGTACAGGAGCTGGTGGTCACAAAAAGTGCAAAGCAATATTCCATCAAATTTCCTTGTCCTTCTGCACTTCCTTGGGTTATTGGCTGTTCCTCTTGAATATTTGATTTACAGCAGCAGCACGGGTGATATTACGAGTTTCTTCTTATATCCTTAAGCTAATAATTCACTATACAATAGGAAGTTAGCATAAGAAGATTGAAAATAGTAAAAAAAAAAAAAAAAAAAAAAAAAAAAAAAAAAAAAAAAAAAAAAAAAAAAAAAAAAAAAAAAAAAAAAAAAAAAAAAAAAAAAAAAAAAAAAAAAAAAAAAAAAAGTTTTGGGAAATATCTACTTCCTGAGATGACAAAAGTTGGATCAACTTTTTTTTCCTAACCAAAAATCACATTATTTTCATAGCTATTTTCACATTATTTTCACAGCAGCTGCTGAACATGCTTATGGCAATTTCCACTTTAGAAATAACCATGATTTTTGGAGATCTGTCCTGTATTAAAATGTTTGGGCCTAGTAATATCTGGTATCTGAGCAACACAATATTACATAAAATCTTGGATTTTAATAACATTTCTGGATATGGATCAGTTAATAAACTTTGTTTCACCAACCACCTAATAGATATCCAGCTACAACTGCTTAATGAATGTTTCCCCAAAATGAAATCTGTAATATTTCAGGTTACCAGACTGTAAGAAAAATCCCCTGCAGATTCAGTTCTACATAGCTGAGGTTCACTTTATTTCCATTGGCAGCATTTTCACCTTCAGAAATCTTCTCATATAGCATTGTGGTAGTCTTTTATGCTCCCAGTGATTATTTACTGAACAATCTGCTAAAATAGGTTGCTGGAAGCAGAAGGCCAACCGTTTCCATGCAGTCCAACTTCCATAAGTGCTCTGTCCTTCTGGAGGTTGAGCAGGGAGATGTAGGCATGCAGCCTTTCCCAGGGACAGGCTTGAAATGCCTGAACATTACATTAGGACTAAAAGCTGCACACTGAACTTAAGTGAGCCCAACTGCAAATGTTAAGCCCTCTCCCTGCTCTAGGGTGCAAAGCACAGAGCTTCACCTCACAAAGAAAGCTGTACAGGCTATGACAGGCAGCTGCCACGTGATGCCCTCAGTTGCAGGTGTCAGGTGTGTGAGACCACCAACCAGGTATCGCCTATGCGGTGGCTGGAAGGCATATAACATGCCCTGGACAAGACAGTGACACCTCAGGCTGCACACTTCCACCTTGCTTTTATGGGAAGGGAAGACTGGAGACTGGGAACAAGCCCCAGTGCTTGAGCTTACATTACAAACCTGACGCAGGGAGATGCCAGCCAGCCCTAGTATGAATCCAAGATGGACAAGCACAGGCTTCTTTTGTAGTCCTGTTGTACAGTCCCAAGCTCAAGCCAATAAATCAGCTTCCTTTTCCCCATCTTAACACTTTAATAGCCCCTGCTATAGACGCTGCCTCATAATATTATCACAAAAAATAATGTTTGTGATAATAGTGGAGTTGAATCAGCAGTTGAATTAGTGAGTGCAACTCCGGGATGGAGCTGATGATGAACAGTGCATCACTGACTGTAGAGAGGCAGCCACAGCTATGGTAACAAAAACATTGGGGACTGTGGTTCCTGTGATAAACAACAAGGAAGTGTCCTTGCTGCTTCTACCAAAGCATTGTATAACAGCACTACTGATCAACTGCATGTAGGTGACATAGCAGTTGCCAACCTGCTAATTTATTGGGGTTTATCAAGCAAATAGCAGTAGTGGCTGTGGAAGAATTATCAGCAAATGCGAAAATGGATTTTGCTTCATAAGTGTCAGGACAGTGTAATACATTGGTAATGGGACAGTGGCAGACAGCCCCTCTGTTTTTCCAAAATGAGAAATTAGAACAGTTCAGCCAAACCAATGGTGTGCATTTCTCTGGAGTTCATGAACTGGCTTTTGACAGAAAAACACACAGACAGGAAAAAGGGGAAAAAAAAAACACAAAGACATACACAAAGCTGAAACTAAGACATCCTAGTTAGGGATTGGCTTTATTTTTTACGGCATAAGCGAAAAGATATCAAAAATGACCTTTTCACTAAGCAGATACCTTTCAATCTTGTCAGTTCAACATAAGTGTGAGTATTGCAGCTGCTGGACTGAATTACAAAATGTCACAAACATCAACAACAGGTGAACCCTCATAGGTATATACACTTGGGTTGCAGTATCATTTTTGCAAAAGAAAGAAAACAGAACAGAGCTTACTGTACCAGCTGAGGTGGGAAGGCAGCACAGGAGAACATCCGGTCCAAGGAGGGAGATTTCACAACCCCTCTGGGCAACTTGTGCCAGAGTTTGATCAGCCTTTGAGTAAATGTTTAAATGGAACTTTCTATATTTCAAACTGTGCCCGTTTCACCTTGTTCTGTCACCAGCACTAGAGGCTGGCTCTGTCATCTTTACTCTCACCTATCTCAACCCAGTCAGGTATTTATGCAAATAAACACAAATAAGTAAGATCCCCTGACTCTTCTCAGCCTCAGGCTGCACAGTCCCAACTTTCTCCATCTCTCCTCATATAACAAAGGCTCCAGTCCCTTAATCTTCTTGCAGCATTTCACTGGACTTGCTCCAGTCCATTAATGTCTCCCTTTTGTGCTGGGGAGCCCAGCACTGGACCCAGAACTCCAGATATATCTCACGAGTGCTGAGTGGACAGGGAGGGTTCATCTCCCTCAGCGTGGTGACACCCTGCCTGTGCCCAGCGCATGGGCACAACCCATCAGGTCTCGTCTGCCAAAAGAGAAGACAAAACTTGCCATAGAATCATAGAATCATTTAGGTAGGAAAAGACCTCTAAAATCATTGAGTCAAACTGTTAGGTTTCCCCTGCCAAGTCCACCACTAAACCCTGTCCCTAGGTGATGGATTTACACATCTTTTAAATACCTCCAGGGATGGTGACCCCACCACTTCCCTGGGAAGCTTGTTCGAATTTCTGACAAACTCTTCTGTGAAGAAATCTTTTCTCATATCAAATCTAAACTTGCCCTGGTACAACCTGAAGTTGTTTCTTCTTGTCCTACTGCTTTTCACTTGGGAGAAGATAACAACATTTCTTCCCTATTACCTTTCAGATGTGTGTAGAGAACAATAAAGTCTTCCCTGAGCCTCCTTTACTCCAAGCTAAAAAAATCTCAGCTCTCTCAGCCACTCTTCGCTTGATTTGTGCTCCTAACCCTTCACGAGCTCTGTTGCCCTTCTCTGGTCATGTTCCAGCACCTCAATGTTTTTTAGGGAGGAGTCCAACACTGAACACAGGATTCAATGTGCAGCCTCACCAGGGAGACAATCACTGCCCTAGTCCTGCTGGCCACACTACTTCTGACACAAGCCAAGATGCCATTGGTCTTCTTGGCCACCTGGGCACACACTGGCTCATGTTCAGCTGCTGTCAACCAACACCTCAAGGTCCTTTTCTGCTGAGCAGCTCTTGAGTCACTCTCCCCCAGCCTGCAGCACTGCCTGGGGTTGTTGTGACCCAAGTACAGGATGCAGCACTTCACTTTGCTGAATGTAATACAAATCCTGTCCATATCCCTCTGCAGAGCCTTCCTACCCTCCAGCAGATCAACACTCTCGCCTAACTTGGGGTCATCTGCAAATCAGCTGAGGGTGCACTCAGCACTTCCAAATCATCAATAAAGATATTAAACAGGACTTGCCCCAAGGCTGAGCCCCGGGGAACACCCCTTGTGATTAGATGTAGGTTGAATGTAACTCCATTCTCCACCACTCTCTGGGCCCAGTCATCTAGCCAGTTTTTACCCAGAGAAGAGTAGACTCATCCAAGTCATGAACAGTCAGTTTCTCCAGGAGAATGCTGTGGGAAATGTACTAAACTCCATGTAGACAATATCCACAGCCTTTCCCTCATCCATTAAGAGGACTACCCTGTCATAGAAGGATATCAGGTTGGTCAAGAGGACCTGCCTTTCCTAAACCCACACGGACTGGGCCTGATCCCCCAGGTGTCCTGTATGTGCCATGTGATAGCACTCACAATGAGCTGCTCCATGACCTTTCCCTGCACAGAGCTCAGGATGACAGGCTCATAGTTCCCCAAATTCTCCTCACAGCCCTTCTTGTAGATGGGGTCGAATCTGCTGACCTCCAGTCAACTCGTTAGCCAAGACTGCTGGTAAATGATGGAAGGTGGCTTGGTGAGCACTTCTGCCAGCTCCCTCAGTACCCCTGCAGCCCATTCACATCCAACTCCATAGACTTTTATGAGTCTAAGTCGTGTAGGTGGTCCCTGTCTTTCAGTTCAGGGTGCTGGGCACCTGGAGAGCAACTGGTCTTACTGACAATTACTGAGGCAAAAAAGGCATTAAGTATCTCAGCTTTTTCCTCATACTCTGTAACTATGTTTTCCCCCACATCCAATAATTGGCAGAGATTCTCCTTGGCCCTCCTTTTTTGATAATGCATTTGTAAAACATTTTTTATTCTCATTCCCTGGTGAAAACTTGATTAATTTCAGGAAGACATTTAGTAGGAAAAATTGTTCATAAATGGGAAAAAACACATGAAAACCCAGACTGAAGGAGAAACTTTCTATTAGGCTGCATAAGGTTTTCCTATGTTCAGGATGAGGTTCATCTCATCACTGTTGGTCACTACTCACCACAACAATATTCATGTACAAAAACACAGTGTGTAGGAGAGGGAGAAAGTTTTTGCTCCCTAATTTGTAGAAGTTGGAAACTACTCACCCATCAATCTAGGAGTGTGAAAGCAGCATCAGAAAGCTGGCTGGGGGAGAACTTTTTCAAATATTCTATGCCAAGGGATTTCTTTTATTCTTGTGCCTAATCTACCTAATATTTTGTCATTTTCAGATAACACTAGCAAACTTTTACAAAAGCAAACTATTCAGATGGAAGCAATGTGTGGAAGCCATATGTGGAAGCTATTCTCTAGCCCTTCTCACTGTGCAGAGACTATAGCTGTTTAATGTTGACTTTTTTTTTGCGCATGTTTAAGAGACAATCAATTTATAGAACAATTTCACAAGTCCATTTATTTTATCTTTATGAGTGTTTTTAGTCTATCTTTGGGATTGAAACACTTCAAGCACTTCAAGCAGGTATCACATGGCTTTCTGAAGCCTGCTACAGAAATCAGAATAAAAGAGCAATTCTAGAAGCACCATAACTAAACACACAAGGAACACATGATTCTTTGGGACCAGGACAATTCAACGGCTTCTGTAGACAAGTGTTTACTTCTTCCTGATTCACCATTACCTGAGGTATTTCTCTAAGCAGCAGCAAAGTGTCAAAGGCAAGAAGAATTTTAACAGCTCAGCACATGAATAACAGACTTACACTGAGGCACAACTAACTGAAGCTGTCAGAAGCGAGACGAGACAGGCAGGTTTGCTCAGGGATTGAATGCTACAAGCAACTCAGTGGTGCTGGCTGCAGACGTGCCTTGTGCACACGCACATGGGAGAGAAGCAAGGAAAGCCCACAAAAATGGATCTGACAAAAATTTAATTAGTGGGATCTCAAGTATAACATGAGAGAAACTCTTATATATTCAGTGCAGGCTGGAAAGAGGTGTGGAACTAGGACCAAAACTAGACTCCTACTCTATTCAGAGAAATGGGATTTGGTAGATGTTTGAAATAACAGATTTGTAGTAGAGGAAAAGCAGACTCTGTATCAATTCCTTTCCCTAATGAAAAAGCTGCAAGACCCTGAATAATGATTAAACCCTCAGGTCAAAGGTCCATCTATCTGGACAGGAGAGAAATTGAGATGCTATTCTTGCTGAGCCAAGGTGGAAGGAAGATATTCATTGAGCTTAATCAAAAAGTTAACTAAAAGTATTCAAACAAAACCTGGCAAAAGAGCTAGAGGCTTTACTGGAAGAATCTGGGAAAGCTGAGAGTATCTCCAAATGGCTCAACACCCAAAGTTGCAATCTTTGCTGGGGAAAATCATCTGAGGTAAGGTTGAAACCTGATCTTTGAATTGCTTTTGCTGGTTTTAGGAGGTTTCATATGTTTGCTACTTATAAGAAAGGAAACTAAGTAAACACATTTTCTAGACAATTTCAGTAACTATAAAAAAGCCAAGAAAAAACATTTCTAAATATCCATTTTAAGTATCAAATAGGTGCCCACAAAAAAAAAAAAAAAAAAAAAAAAAAAAAAAAAAAAAAAAAAAAAAAAAAAAAAAAAANAAAAAGAAAAAGAAAAAAAAGGAGTTCAACTATTGATTTACACAACAGATTTTTGTTCTGTTGACAAAATCCTTGTTATTTTGCACAAAATGACCCTCAGAGGCTATGAACTAGCTTCATTTTTCTTTGGAAGCCTCTCAATGCCTTAGATTTATTGGGTGATGGATAGCTGAGAGGGTGTTTGGCCCAACAGATATTACATCTCTTCAGCATGGAGGAGCCATGAGTTTGGTGCACTAGGAGCTGTAATCACGTCTGCAAGCTGGAGTTTGGCTGTAGGCAGAGCTAAACAAAGGCAGACCAACACTCCAGGTGTGTCCTGACTGGGTTGTCCTGTTCCTCACAGACTGCATAACAGAGCTGTCCTTTCTTCCCCCCAATTCTCTTTTAGTGTCAGCAGGGTCCAGATTTAAAACAAGCAGAGCAACACTAACAGCGCATATGAAGTCTCTTCAGAACCAAAAGATAATCTTTAGAAATAAGACAGAAACAGAACTGAATTCCCAGCATAATCAGGCAAGAACTCCATGTCATAAATCAGGCAAAGATCTGCCCAGCAGTGTAAACCACTTGCCAGCAGAATTATCTCCAGCATTCAAGTCTCTGGCTGCAATTTTAACTAATGAATCCACTGTAATTAACTCATTAGCAGTTGTTCCAGTGACTTTAGCACTGTAAGCCTCTGAGGCTCCAGAAAGCTAGCAATTTTGGAGGCTGTAAATTTTGCTAAAATGTGGGAGATATTTGCACAAGGCTTTCCTCAATAAACAGAAATGTGTTCAACCATCTTCCACTTCTCTGTGACAACCCCTCCTGGCAGAACACATCCTACAGTGTCTTTCTGTGGCTACTCAGGCTATATAGGAAGGCCGGCAATAAACACGCTTCCTTTTATGCTTAATAGTCATGTCTTTCTTTACTTTTGGGGCTGAAACAAAATCTGCTACAGGTACAGCTCCATTAGGGACTATAGCATCTGGCAGTACTGACTTTGTGCAGCAAAGAACAATAGATGTATAACACACAAAGGTCATTTCTGTGACAGAGCGGGACCTGCTCTAACAAGTTATGAATATGTAATAAAAAATGGAGTTTGACAGGTCTTTTCTGTTCTCCAGGCTGTAGTCCTGCATGATGTGGAAAATTGTTCTCTCAACTCGGTCTTGCAAAAGCTACTGAAAGCCACTACTGCGCCAAGTCAAGCCCCATATCAGTCACTGCTGCTCCAGGAGTGCAGAATCAAAAGGCTTCCCTACAAAGTAGAGTCACAGGCAGGAGCACCTTATCCAAGTTCACAATGCACACCTTCATGCAATGAGTCAAGACGCCACTCTGTGGCCAACTATAAAGCACCCATTTTAGCCTCACGTAGGTCTCATCCAAATTCTCTGTACCTACCATGTCCCAGACCAGAATGCTGGCTAGACAACACTAATCTAATGTGCTGGTGGGAGCAGAGGGTTTCTCCATCCTAGGCAGCCCCCAGCATTCCCTGTCCCTTTTCATCAAGGGATAGCCTTCCAGTAAAAACATATTGCAGAAGAGTGAGAAAAGTCACTCCACATTAGGACAGCCAAGTTTTTCATCCTTATCTGTTCAGAAAATATTCTTGCCATTATGGCCCAAGGACAACACATGCAACTGTTAGCTCTCATTAGGCTGTGCTCCCTGAAAATCCCCATTCCATGGAGAGTACTCTGTTCCAAGTACTCTACCCAAGTTCTAGTGCACACGTGTGTTATACCACCAACCCTGATGGCTCTGCTTCTACTAGTTGTGCCACAGTCCTCAGCACAGAGAAGGAGGGAGTCATAGAGACACTGTGCCATGTTTTCCTATTGCATTGGTTCTGACTTGTCAAACGGACTAGAAAAGCTTACCTCAGTTCATATGCCTAGTACAATCCTTTATACTTTAAGGCAGATGATCTGGACAGACTTGTTGCTTTGAAAATAATAACACATGTTTCAGCACTTAAGTTGTTTCTTGTATCAGATGCTCAGTGCAGAATAATCTGCATTTTATTTTTAAATATTGAGAGAAACAGAATATATTTTATGAATGATCTGTCATCATCTTCTAGTTTGGCAGACAACACATGTAGCTGGGTCACAGTTTCAAGAGTTTCATCACAGTTTGGTACTAGTTAAGCATTTTCTAATGAAAGTTAGGGATTTGTAGACATTGACAATACATCACACATCAGAACTGCAGGAGGTAGAAAAACACAAAGTCAAGTAATTCTAAAAGACTTCAGTGAAGATCATGGGAACTTTCAGCCTAGCCAGTGCCAGCTGAAGTCTAGGTACAGCTAAAAACAAGCACCCTGGGGTGTAACTCTATTTCTTTTAAACCTGGACCCTGCTGACACTAAAAGAGAACTAGGTGAAGAAAGGACAGTCCAGTCAGGACACATCTGTAGTGCTGGTCTGCCTTTGTTTAGTTCTGCCTTCAGCCAAACTCTGGCCTACACTAGTGATTACAGCTCCTAGTGCACCAAAAACATGGCCCCTTCATGCTGAGGAGATGTGAGATCTGTTGAGACAAACAGCCTCCCAGACAGTGTCCAGGACAGCAGGCAGCTCAGCCGCAGCACAAGTGCACTTGGAAGAGGTACCAAATCTTCCACGACCTCCTGGCAGAGCAGCAGCTCTGTGTTTGCTGGTTTGAGCCCTTCAGGAAGATAACCTTTCACCACTTGTGGTAGTGGTACTACCTGACTGTTCACATCATGGGAGACAGGACAGATGATCCCATAACAAAGTCAAAAGCAGCAGTAACAAGACAGTACCTCACTGCAGCTCTGTCAGAAAGCACCAGACAGGTGAGGATACAGCTCCTGAAGCAGCGATCTCCAGCCTCTGGTGTAGCTCACAGCTGAGGTGGCTGTCCCCACATCTGCAGCTAATTTTCAATGCAAATCTGGTCTCATCTTGCATGTTTACTACTGCAGCCTTTACTACTGCTACTGATGTCCTCTACAGCACATGTGGACTATGCACTTGCCACAATCAACTGGTACAACCTAGTCTTTCTTGGTCTGCTGCATTCCAGTTTTTGGAGGAAGAAAAGGCTAAATTTGAAGCTTAATTATTTAAAATAAATTAGTTTCCTCACTTAAGAGTTAGAGATGTGATTTAACAAGTTGAGAACTGACATTTAAAAGTGTAGTGGTGAGTCAGACTGTGCCAAAAGGGTGCAGTTGAGAACAGAGTGAAAAGTGAATGTAAAGTCTCTGGAGCTTTAATCTTGATTGCAATATTACTGACAAAACTCAGCCCAGAACTGACCCAGATTCATCTTGCCTAGCTTTTTAAACATAGATGTGACACTCCATTTAGAAACTGTTGTCCTACACACCATCTGTAGTTTATGGAGAAAAATCAAGACCTCTGGGGGAAATCAGCTCAATCTGAATCTCAGATCTCTCAGCAGCCTGATAGCAATATTCTCTTCCCTTTTAAAAGAAGTCTCCCGACTG